AATGTTTATAAACATTTTTTAATTTAATTTCTCTTTCTGCATGGCGGTTGTCGGGTTGTATTACCTATTTCTAAAGATTTTTTAGGTATTTAAATGTTACGAACGTTTGGTTTGTTATCTTATTTTATTACCAAAGGGCTGTGATTGAATGTGCCATTTTTAGAATTTTTTGACGATGTTATTAATGTTTGTCATATTTAATAACAAATAATAGGTAACTATTCTTTGAAAAACTATTTGACGTTCCTATTAATATAAGTTTGTTTTCAACTGATTAATGAGTCTGATTATTTAGTTACACTTTATTATTTAAATAACTCATTTTTAATGTTATTCATTATTTTTTAACATTTTCATTTAATTCTAGCTGTTGCTCGTACGTGCCGTTTTCTACGTGATGGCTGTGTTAACATTTTATTAAACCTTACTGTTTATATACATATTTTATTTGCCTCAAATAGGCGTTTTGTTATTTTCTCTCCAAAGAACTGTGATTCTATGTGCCACATTTGGAATTTTAAAAAATAATGTTAAGTTAGAGCTTCATAACAATAATTATTTTCAATTTTAATAAACATTTTAATTCTTAACTTTATTTTTATTTGCTAAAACCTTGGACACCCTACATAATCGATATGCCTAAAGTATCTCTGGCCAAATCGCCAAACGTTAAGTGTTGAACGATATGCCCTGTGTTGGATGGCCAGATCATGATGTGCCGGAGTATCACGTTCTGCCTGGGCATATCTCGATCTGGCCAATCTAACGATAAGCCCACGACATATATACAAACCTTAACCTCTAGTTTTATTTATGTATCTAGTCAAGTAGTGGGTCCGCGAAATAAGGGTTTTTAAAAAACTTAAAGTTAAAATGAATACAACCGGTCCGATTTGAGGTCCGTTTAATACTAAATATTACAAGTATTCTATTATATTTATATCCTATTCTTAAAGGCCTACGTGACCGTTGTGCTGACACATTGTTCTCACGCTCTACAAGGAAACGTTACTTAGTAAGAACTAAGAGTGGTTCGTAAATCATGTAAGTGTGGTTCGTAAATCATGTAACAGCATTTCGGCTATTGAAATATAAAGGATCTTTGTACTACTATGTTGCAATGGTTTTTTGTTTATATAAAATATAATTATCCTATGGTGGTGACACACGGGATTATATAACTCCTCCCTCCTTAAGAGCGAAATTATCAGGGGATTGCACATGCAAATTCTGATTATTTCGCCACTGCAACATATTAATAATCTTATTTTTTATAAAAAAACACAACAATTAGCAAAATACAATAAAAGAGTGCCTAAACTAATGCTTTTCACTTTCACTGAATTGCCCATTTTACTATCACTATCTCTGTTAAGTTGTTACAGCATGTAAGACATGTGTTGCCGGTCACTGAGCTCCATTCCTTGTAAGTTTACTGGATTCTGATTTTCCTTAGAGTTCACTGTTGACTGTAACTCCAGCAGCTTAATGGATGGGATACGTTCTGATGACATATTTTCTGTATATGAACGCTGATGATGTAATTGGATGTCATTGATGTTGAGATCGCAGGGTTAATCTATAGTAATGATATATTATGTTCCCTTTATAGAGTTTCGGCTTATCTCATTTTTGCAATTATTTGAATAATGATTTGATTACTATTATTGTACCTTTACCTCTTCTATAATTACTGTATTCTGGTCACAGTTGGATGGGTTTTCCTTGAAGGTCATCAGCTCCTCAATGCATGTCGTTTCAGGATACGGTGCCCCTGTTTTCTTGTGTGCAGAGATAATTTTCCTCAGAGACTTGTTTGCAAGGCTGTATAAGCGGTAAGTATGTTACACCTTTCACCAGGATATAGGGATATTAGGGAATGATTATTAAGGTTAGGTTTTTAGGGTCATGAAAGATAGGTAAGGGATACATTTTATTACTATAAGTTGAATTGGTTATTAAAGCTACCTCTAATACAAAAGTTATTTTCCTGTCTATCATGTATGATTTAACATTAATCGTATCTTCTAATTTAACTAAATTATCCCAAGTGGGTGGATACATAAGATTTTCTGACTGTGATATATAAATTAAAATCTGTAATAAATGTGTAAAACATTGGTTTTGGTGAAAGCCAAAGCAATTTCTAATTCGCTTATTTTTTATATAAAGCGTTCTAAAATTACTTACAAAAAGATTATATAAACTTAAAACATATGTAGAGTATACTGCATTATTTTCTTTAGTACTTATGTCTTTTAACATTTTTTTTTCTACACGTTTTAGTCTTTCGTCCATAATTTTTGAGTTATTGTGTAATATTTCTGATGAATTAATGAGTCCATCTAACATTTTGAAAACAACTGTTAAACGCTTGTTTGTGGAAATTTTGTTGATTACCTAATTGATTTATTAACTGTTCATATCGTTGAGCATCTTCCTGATCTAAGTTTCCAGTTATCATTTTAATAATAGAGCCTAGAGGGTTCAATATTCCTCTTCGTACTCGGTGTGAAGGGATTATTTGCCTAATCTTTTCAGTAGTTATTCTTTGCAAATACTCTACTTGTTCCCTAATTCCTAAAAATTCTTTAAACTAAGGCTTATCATCACTTACTATCTTACTAAAATTACTATATTTCCTATTGTTATATTCTAATTCCATTAGTAGGCCATTCAAATCTAATACCTTAAAAATAAGCCAGTTATCCTGTTTGATGAAGGATGTTCCCTGTCTTACGGATCCCTGAATTGTTTTCAACCTTTTGAAGTTGAAGGCCCAAGCTGGGGCTCGTGAGTGTCATCGTGATCACTAAGCACCACCTTTGGAGGTCGTTTTATGTTTTTAATTGGTACCTTTTTGTGTTTACCTCTAATTTTAATAGGGATGGTGTTTCTTTCAGGTTTTCCTGTAACTATGGCCTTTTCAAAACAAGGTTTGTACTTACTTCTACGAGTGTTTATTAATTTTGTGAAAATTGTTTTCCCTTCTGGTAACGGGACGTCGGATTCGCCACCGCGTTTTTTTCTAGAGTTTTCCTTAAACGTTAACATTTTATCAGATATGATTTTGTATAAAACTTTTATTCTTTTGGCGTGATCTTTAATTAATTTTTGCAAGTATCGTTTCTCGAAGTCTATATTGAATGCGTTTTCAGAATCTACATGGCCAAACACTACTTCAAACGGTGTTAAAGTTGTTACAGTATGAATCGCATTATTATATGCCATGATGAGTGATATAATAGATGCGGCGTCGGTACATTGTTGTTCGTATTTTGTCAGTCTGTAAATTTCAATTAAGGTGGAATGAAAACGTTTAACTATTCCCATTGAATTAGGGTTCCTAGGTGTGTCGATATGTATTTGGATTTTATAGAGTGACATCATTTCTTTCAATAGATCGTTGTTGAATTCAGTACCAGAGTCGCAGCTTATTTTCTTAGGTATGCCGTAAAATGAAAAGTATTTTACTAGTGCGCGGATAACGTCAGGTGTGCCTTTGATAGTAATTTCAATTGCCTGTCTTAGTTTGCTAAAAGCGTAAGCTAAGGTGAGGTATGTTTTTCCTTCGATACTAAATATATCTATAAATAATTCCTGGAATGGGGCACGTTGCTTTTGAGTTAACTGTAAATATGGTTTCAAAGGCTTTCGGTCATATTTCATATGTTTACAGGCTTCACAAGAATTAATTACTGCTGATATAGTTTCTTTCATGTTATTCCAAAAGAAGTGTCGCCTGATGCGAGTAAAAGTTTCTTGAATACCTCTGTGACAGGTTTTTCCGAGATGAAATTTCAGAATAACGGCGTTCTGTTCATTTTCATCGTCAATAAAAACGATTCTTTCCGTACACTCATAAAATTGAATTGATACACCTTTAAAAAGCCTAATTACCATGTTGCTGAATTGTTTGCGATGTTCCGTATTTCCGAAATATATAAAATATTTCTTTTTGTGTTTTATGTATTCTTTCAGGAATTGTTTGATTAAATAATTACACAATTACTCAATAATTATAGCTCACAGAATTTGATGTGAATCTAAACTTATACTTACTTTAGGGGTTGCAGAATTTCATGCACTAACCTACTTACTTCTATATTTCTTTAATTTACTTATTACAATTTACGTTTATAGGAATTTAACTCTAACAAAGTCTTAAAACTATCGTTAAGATGAGAGATGTCGATCTCAAAATAACAAAAGAAAAGTGGAGAGGGCTGGATTTGAAAGGTGAAAAGGTGACTTACCAGTACATCGCTGCCTCAACACTCGCACAAAACACCCTTAACGCTTTTGGATTTTTGTTCTTGACAAATTTATTTGTTCTTTTGAATAGCCGTTTTTAGCAATCGCGACGTAGTTTCCCCTTTTTAGGTAAGCAGAATTTGATGCTCGAACCGATAATTGAGAAGTACGTGCAGCTAGAGCGACTATCCTGTCCTCAGCGCCAGTCAAGTAGTGAGTCCGCGAAAAAGGGTTTTTAAAAACTTAAAGTTAAAATGAGTACAACCGGTCCGATTTGAGGTCCGTTTAATACTAAATATTACAAGTATTCTATTATATTTATATCCTATTCTTAAAGGCCTACGTGACCGTTGTGCTGACACATTGTTCTCACGCTCTACAAGGAAACGTTACTTAGTAAGAACTAAGAGTGGTTCGTAAATCATGTAAGTGTGGTTCGTAAATCATGTAACAGCATTTCGGCTATTGAAATATAAAGGATCTTTGTACTACTATGTTGCAATGGTTTTTTGTTTATATAAAATATAATTATCCTATGGTGGTGACACACGGGATTATTTATGTATCTTCATAATATGTACCTTAAAATATTGAAAATAGAGCAATTTACAATAAACAACTGCATTCACAGATTCTTTTTAATTCTACGATTTTTAATATTTTGTTAAAATTTTAAATTAATTGTGTGCCTAATTTGCAATGAAGCTGTAGCCGTATTCAAGGAATTTAACCTCTCTCGACATTCCATGACAAAACATAACAACGCCACTTATGAAAAGATGACTGAAGAAGAACGGAAGCAAAAATCAGGAGCTCTACGTAAGCAAATATCAGGTCAGCAAAATATTTTTAAAAAGCAGAACTGATCTCAAAAGCTTGCTACACGTGCCAGCTATGTTGTAGCATACAATATTGCTAAAAGTAACGAAACATTTTCTGATAGCGAATTTGTAAAAACTTGTTTACTTCAAGTAAGTGATATTTTGTTTCCTGAACAAACAAGAGATTTTGAAGCAGTAAGATTGTCCCGAAAAACAATTACGTCTAGAATTGAAGCTATTAACAAGCAGTTTGTAACACAACTAGAATCAAAGATAAGCACGTTTAAATTCTGTTCTTTTGCGGTGGATGAAAGCACCGACATAACTGACACAGCTCAGTTACTGATATTTATAAGAGGTATAGATGACAACTTTGGTGTTACTGAAGAATTAGCCTCCATGCGTTCATTAAAGGGAACGACAAAAGGATCAGACATTTTTGAAGAATTTCAAGAAACTATCACATCTTTGAAAGTACCTCTGACCACTATTTGTACATTACTTCTGACGGAGCACCAAATATGACAGGGGCAAAATCTGGTTTTGTAGGCAAATTTAATGAATCATTTCCTGGGAACGAAGTGGTGTTTCTTCATTGTATCATCCATCAAGAAACTCTGTGTAAATCTGCTCTAGAAATGAAACATGTGCTTGATGTTATTATATTGTTAATAGCATTCGTTCGCGAGCACTCAACCATAGGCCATTTCAAGAGTTTCTTAACTCATTGCAGTCAGAATATTCTGATGTACTTTACTACACCAAAGTAAGGTGGCTCAGTGCAGGGCGGGTTTTTGACCGAGTTTGGGATCTAAAAGACGAAATTATCTCTTTTGTGGAAGAAAAAGGAATGGACGAGTGTGATCATTTGTAAGATATGTTATGGCTTTCAGACTTTGCATTTTTTTCAGATATTTTTAGCCACATCAATAAATTGAACCTTAAACTCCAGGGAAGAAATCAATTGATTCATGATACTTGGGGTCATATCAGGGGTTTCAAACTGCAGTTAAATCTATTTTCCAAACAACTACTCAAGAAAGACTTCACTCATTTTCCAAGGTTAAAATCCATTGCAGTTACAGAAGACAAAGTTAAGAGCTATGAGAAACACGTAAAATGCCTTCATGAAGAATATGAACGAAGATTCCAAGACTTCAAAGTTATCGAACAGGACCTGGAGATTTTTAGCATGCCATTTAATTTGGATTGTGAATCAGTTAAACCAGAACTGCAGCTCGAACTAATTGAGTTGCAATGTAACACTGAATTGAAACAACTATTTCTCAATGTTTCGAAGATTGAGTTCTACAAGGCCCTGGCCCTCAAAAACAACTTTTCCAAACCTGAAATCTCACGCTTAGAAGATAATTTCGATGTATTCCTCTTCTTACATCTGGGAACAGGTTTTTTCTACTATGAAGCTTCGCAAAAACAGTGTTAGAAACCGATTGACTGACCATAATTTACCTTCACTACTGCGAATCAGCTCATCTCAGTTTCTACCAGATTATGACCAACTTTTAGAATCTCAGTCACAGTTTCATCTGTCTCATCCGCCTTCATGCTCTTCTAAAGATTAATCATTTTTTGTGACTTGTTTGGAAGTTTTTACCATTTTAGTATATAAGTTGTGTATGATGTAAAATTAAACAATAAAAAGGTTTAGGCCCATAACTTGTATTTTTTTTTTGGCCCGCCTGTAAATTTTTAAATTTCATCTGGCCCTCCTTTTAAAAAGTTTGCCCATCACTGGCCTAAGAAAACGTATGGTACAGATATATCAGTGTCTGGTAGTAAGAACGATTCAGGTAAATGCAATTCGTTGTTAGTAAGCTTTGCATAAAATGATGTGTCCTTGAATATGCCACCAACAGACTGGCTCCCGTTTGAGCCTGTATGGACGTAAATAAATTCGTAATTTGCATTTACGATAGCAAATAAAACTACGCTAAATGATCCCTTGTAATTGAAGAAAAGAGATCCACTTCCAGGCGGTTTTTGGATTAAAATATGTTTCCCGTCCATACAACCCACGCAGTTATTAAAGTTCCATTGTGTTTCAAATAATTTTGCAGTCATTTTCCATTCTTCCTCCGTTGACGGTAGCTGTAATGAATAAATTAGGCATATAATTATAAATTTACTAGGCATTTACCTACCTATAATATATTTATCTACTATATTTTTTTTATTTCAGGAACAACAATTAGGCGGGACGAAACGAAAATAATTACAAGAGAACGCAACATAGAAATGAAAAAAGAAAAACTAATAGATGCTGCAAATAATTTATTAACCGACAGGGCGGAAACTAATGCATTCGGAGTATATGTAGGCAAGAAAATTGATGAAATACCCCTTGGTCAACAGCGAGATCTCGCTGAAAAACTTATTTCAGACATTTTGTTTCTTGCCAAGACTAACAATTTAACTTTTAACACAAGAATAGAAAACCCATCAAGAACTAATCACTATTCTTCACAAAACTCCTCTGAATCGTACTTCTTACAATCTAATCCTTTTTTCTGCGTCCCATACACAACATCAATCACCTGCTTCATCACATTCTTACCTCAAGTCTCAACTAGTGAATACATCAACTCCAAATTATCCTATTCCCATGCAATCACCCACTTCCTCTTATCCACAACATCAGTCACCTGCTTCACCGCATTATTACCTAATTTCTGAACCAGTTAATTCACCAACCTCAAACTGTCCGACTCCTCTTCAATCACCAAATGTTCCTTCCTATCATACACAACATCAGTCACCTGCTTCATCTCATTCTTTCCAAAGCCTTCCAAATAACTCACAAATTTCAAATTCAAATTCTACGTCTGGTCTCATGTTTGTGTCTTTTTTAGTTATGAATGGCCTCACCTTAGACAAAAGTTTCTTTATCCATTCTTAGAAAGTTATGTACGTCATCAAAGTCCAGTAGGTTAATTAAGTTCATATGACGAAGAGTTAATCAATTAACCATTGCTTCATCCATATTCTTTTTTTTTCTATGTTTTTTTGTTTCAATTGCACACAAAAGTGCAAGACTCACCACAACTTTTTGTTGTTTACTTAGGCAAGGCGCCATGATGTCGTTGTAATTAATTCTGAAAGTGCGTCAGGTACGGGAGCGCGGAGACGTCTTATCAGCGCAACGTTATTTTGGACACTGTTGGTTTTAAACCGTGTAGCCGAAAAGCGCAACTCGCTTTTATTTCGTTTCAAACCGCCGTTTCATACCGTGTAGCATTGTTTTTAATATAATTAGAAACATATTTGCATGTCGTCTCGTGTCGCAACACGTTCTGTCGTGGCGCCGACTGCTCGCCACCGATTGCGCCAGAGCGGTGGTGGGGGTTATGACGCGACACAACACATGCGGGCAACATCTAGCGGGCACTTTTTAATTTATTATATTTGCAGCAAAATGACTGACGATCTTTAGAACTTGTACGTCAACGAAAAGTTATATATGACTCAAAGTGTAAAGAGTACAAGGATCAATTGATCAGAAATGCTGCTTGGGAAGAAATTTTGAAAGAACCCGGTAAGTCAATAAAATAGTATTTAGAAGTTTCATTGCTAAGAGAAATTGAAGGTCTTCATCAAAATCACTATCCGAATCAGAAGAAAACATTATGCAGAGAACGCTGCAAAGGTTCGTTAAGTACTGTTCAGAAATAACGCCAGAATACGCTCGACACGTCAATGTGCACACTCACCGACACGACACGTAAGTATGTTTCCGCCTTAACAGAAAAGTCGAGATCGTCCCGCCTTAATAAGAATGTTTGCAGTAACGTCGGTACCTTTAAATTTTCCTTTAAATGTTGGATAAAACCCTAACCATATTCTATGAAAACGTGCGAGGTTTACGGAAAAAAACGAGTGATTTATATCGTAATCTACTCTTGTCTACTTTTGATATAGTTTTAATAACGGAATCTTGGTTAAACGATAAATTTTACGACAGCGAACTTTGCGGGGGAACATCGTGTATGTTACGGCGCGATAGAACAAAAGAAACATCCAATAAAAAATATGGGGGAGGTTTGTTAATTTATATATCGTAAATTGCAGGCATATGAAAGACCTGAATGGAACTGTACTAATGTCGAAACTTTGTGGCTAACTGTGAAGTATGTATATACTGGCATACAAGAAGTTGCCTTGGCAACAAACTCTTTATAAAGAAGAATATAGTTTGATAAAAAAAATTTCTTACAAAAAGCATTGTATTTCTTTAATATAAATAAAACCTTAAATCCTGATCTATCTTTCGTATCTACTCGTTAAAACTTTACACTAACTATACCCGAAAATTCGCTTGGAGCTAATGATCGGCGTAATCTTCTTATCGGATTGGTCTATATACCTCCCGATTCTAAACAGCCGCAACGACTTATGACGTTTATTTCCTCGTTCAGTCATATATCTGAATCAAACGCAAATGAAAACTTCATAATTATTGGTGACTTTAATCTTCTAATCATTAACTGGTCTCCCACAGGACCTATTATTTTAAAGCAGGGTACGACCCATTTACAAGAAATCTCCGAAGATTTTATAAAAAAAAGGTTAAATTCTTCTGGCCTAACGCAGCATAATTTTATTCCCAATATTTGTAACAATGTGTTAGATTTAATATTAAGTAACGTCTCTCTTGTTAATACCAGAGCTGACATAGCATTGGTAAAGCCCGATATACATCATCCCTGTTTAAGTATAGATGCAACTGACTTACTACTGCGCAAAATGCCTCCAAAAGTTCATTTAAAATATGATTTCTATCGCGCGAGGAATCAAGCGAGGTCAACAAACGAGGTCTTGGTGATGAGAGATTTATGATGATATATATTGTTTATCTATTTAATCTGTTTTGGCTTTCTACATTGTCTAAGTGTTTTGCTTTATAATATGTTAGCTGTAAGATTACTAATAAATAAATAAAAAACAATGACGCTTGTTACGTAGCCCTATACCATGGAATCTGCATTTCGCAATATATAAAGAATAACACGTCCCTAACGTTACATGGTGTCAGCGGAATTCGTATGTCGCAACTTACAAGAGTTACACGAGCTTTACGTTGCATGGTGTCAGAAATTGTTGCCTCTTGGAGCCTTATTGTTTCCATATTTAATGTGCATTCAATTTCCTTACTTCGGGTTGTTTAGCCGTAATTTTAATTGTTATTTTATTTTAAATAAATTAGTTTAAAACATTTGGTTTTTTTTTTAAACCTTCGGCTGTGGCCTTCGTAAGGCGCAGTCGGTAGGATTTGTTCGTAAAGTCAGTGAATCGATCATAGACCGGGAAAATTTATCAAAGAGACCAGATGTGGTGAGTACCTCGTTTTTATCTAGACTTGCCAAATCAACCGTAAAGTTTTTTTTTATAATCCCATACCAAGTTTTTTTATCCTAGAGAATCACGGAGCCCTAGGTTAGGTATTATACGTAGGAATTTAGAATTTGATTTAGGTAGCGATTTAACAGGAAATATGTCACTCTCACCTCTACAATAGACTGTATGGAGTGTATCCTTTGTATCCGCTTATGTACCCGACCCTGTTTGTTCTGGGTATGGTGGGTTATGACCAGCTACGCCTCAGAAGAGAGCTAGCCTTGTCAGTGTATATATTTAAGATACTTACGGGTCGGGTTCATAATCTGGATATAATGGAGAGACTGAGTCTACGGGTACCAAGTAGAAACCTGAGGCGAAAGTCTCAACTTTTGGATGTACCGCGCGCACATTCCAACTTGGTTAGCAAAGCACCACTCACGCGAGCAATACATATAATAAATAGAATTTCTGTTAAGGTAGACCTATTTGTTTGTACACTGGCTGAGTTCACAAGAGATGCTTCCTATATTATTATTTATAAGATTTAGGTATATAAATATATATTTTTTTAATGTTTTTTATCTAGATTAACTGGTGTGGGTATAAATATTGTGTCGTTCTATCGAATAAGTAATTACTGTAAAGATAGAATAATGATATGGAATAAAATAAATAAATGTCGGAGCTTTTAGTTGACAACATATTTAAAGCCTTACGTTTTGTTCCCGAGTTTGATGGTAACCCGAATGTCCTTACTAGGTTCATTAATTTATGTGATCAATTGGTGGCAAAATTTATAACAGCGGAACCGGGTTATGAGTTACTTTAAGTAATCTAGCACTTATTAATAGCATACTCAATAAGGTTACTGGGCCCCTTCGCGCGGACTCTTAGCTCAAATGGAATTTCCGAGAATTGGATCAGTATACGTAGTTCTTTAATAAATAATTTTGCAGATCACCGTGATGAGACCTCTCTGTATAATTATTTATCTCTCATAAGTCAGGATTTAGAGAAACCTCAAGAATTTTATGAGCGTTGTCAAAATATTTTTAGTATAATTATGACTTACGTTAATTTACACGATTCGGTACAGAGTTACAATTGAAGCCAAAAGAGCTTTATACAAAAAGTTAACTTTGCAAGCATATTTGCGTGGCCTTCGTGATCCACTTGGGTCTCTAATTCGATGTATGCGACATGAATCAATAGAAGAAGCCCTCGAATTTGTACATGAGGAACAAAATACTTTATATATTCAACAGCGTAACCAAAGCTGTCCCGATAAAAAATTATATAGTAATGTTAATAATTGTTGAAGTTTGATCAACTGACAGCTGACTTTACCCAACCTATCCCAATCCCATCCCTATTATGTTGTATTATGTAGTTGGTAGACATGAATTTTTTTTTAAGTTGGCAAGCGACATGAGCATTTACTTCATTGTCAGGGAGCAAGCAAGTAAATTGTAAAGAAAGAGGCTCCAAAGTTTTGTTATCTCAATTCTTGTTAAGTATTGTGAAATATTTCAACGATTGTCTTGCGAGAGTTTTGTTAATCATAACATGTTATATGATTCAAAAGGTATGTCTTTTTCACTTTAATTCTAACTGTATTTTTCTTTTCAAATCTTGTCGCCGCATGCTAAAACATTGTCATCGCCATATTGAATCTGAGCAAACAAATTGCATTATATAAAAGCATTTTCTTTTTTCATTTAATTTTGTCAATTGATTACTGATTTGTTTGTATTTCGACAGGTACCTTTTGAAAGACTGTTCAAATTAAACAAACATTTCTGTCAACTTGGACTCAATTTATTTACAAGAACCCAAACCCACTGAATAAACAACAATAATCAACATATAAAAAAAGGCTCAAACTTAAGCCTGTCTTTTGGTAGACCTGTTGTAGAAGCCTGCTCTCAATGTGAATCGCTGAAAGCCAAATTACGAGACAACGCATCGAATGAAAATGCTAAAAGAGCTTGTGTTGCTGAGCTTTTGGTGCATAAACGACGGAGTAATACGTTTTATAAAAAATTTCAATACATTATAACTTTTTTGATTAACTTTGTGTTTGATTTTATTTAAATATTACTTAGATTGATTACTATTTAAGTGGTAAAAGGGCACATGTCCATAATACATACCTAATGACTAAAAGGTCACTTGTTTATGATATTTTTATGGCTGTTTTTAAGCATTCACACAGAAATATGCAACTTTTTAATATGGATTATGTTATGTACATTCTCAATAGCATACATAAAAACCAAGATTATATCTTCATTCTTTCAAAAACTATACAGTTATTTCTATCGCCTGTAAAATTTCAT